TTTACTTCTTAGTAAAGAAGTTTATACATTTTGTAAAATACAAACGTTTGATGACTTTAGATTTTATGCACCATATTGCAAATTTTCACCATAATCCGTTTTTCATCATGATCGCTCACAATTAATATTATATACGTATATCATTATGCTCAAATTTGCAAATATTAATTAATTTATCAGCTACAATATTTAAATATATAATGCAAAATTTACAAAATACATTTTCTTAATATTATTTACTGTATTAATAGAAATATATCGGATTTTCATAAAAAATGCAGTGATCTCTTGGTATTGTACAACGTTATTTAGAGTAACATAATTTCCCGTTTATTTGTTTTATGCACAAAAAAATTTGGCGAGATCTTTTTTCAAAAATGCAATAAATTAAAATTAAAAAATTTGTTATAGATGCCGTCTCAATACTTTATATTATTATTTAATTTTTTGTTCATACATATTGTATATTTTTAGGAAACTGAAATTTTTAAAGCGCTCTTTCTTTCCCATACTTTTTCAGAAGAAATTCGATTTCTGATTATTTAAAATAAATTCTGCTGACCAACGAAAAATTTTAAACTACGAAAATAAAAAGACGAGGTATATTAATCAGGAAAAAAGCTAATTTTCATACACAATCCGGCTTAGCTTTTACTTTTCTGATAGGTGTTGTATATACGCAAAAAATCGAAAAATTATTAAAAAATAAATATTTACAATTGTATATATATAAATATATAAAATTAATATTAATAATAAACAAAAGTGGAGCAAAAGAAAATTTAACCGACCCGAGAAACGTTATTTTTCGATTTATGATTAATTGTGAAATAGATGCGGATAATGTGAATGTGTATTTTTTTTGTGTAAAGGGTGTGTATTTATGTATTTATATCATATTTGGTAAATTTATTTATTTTACATGATAAGAATGTTTTTGGATGAAAGAAAAAAAAAGAATTTTAACGAAAAAAATCCTTAAATTAAATAAAAAATTGGGGATATCAAAAATCCAAAACTTAATTCAATAAATCACGAATCTTTATTGATGCATTTATTGCTGTTGAAGATGAGGCTGCAGACGATGAAGGCGGCATCTTATTTTCAAGTTGATCGTGATAATTATGATTACGCGTAGAATAATGTGTTGATGAAAGAGAAATTTTGTCCGAGTGGCAATATTGTTGGTGCTGTGATTGTTGATAATAAGGAGAAGGGTGAGGTTGATTTGATCGATCCTTTATTATTTCATCATTTGTTTCATTACTCTTTCTTCTTTTATTAGATTGTAATGATCCCAGTGATGGTGATAATCTTTTTTGTAGTGAAGAATCGAAATTTGATTCTTCTTCTGTGATGCATGCTTTTGTAACGTTTGATGAATCGTTTATGTATTTCCATTCGGTCCCTTCACTATTACTATTACTAGTACCATTTCCATTTCCAATATAAGGTGGAGTTGGAATTGAATGGGATTCTTTTCTTTTATAGTCAAACGTTGTAGAGTGCGTAGAAGATTGCGCAGAAGATGACAGTGGTGAAGATGACAATGAAGATGTTGGTGATGGTGATGGTGAACTATTTACATCTGTGAGACCTTCCATATGAAATACCAATTGTCCATTACTACTATTTTGTGAAAATCCAGTAATAGAATTTACGCTATTAGTTGTTATCTGTGGAAGATCTAGTTTTTTCGGTATTTTATTTTTTTTATTTTGAAAAAGTGTTGATTGTCCCATATTATCATTATTAATATTATTAATATTATTAATATTAATATTATCATTATCATTATTATTATTATTATTATTATTATTATTATTATTATTATTATTATTATGATGATGATGATGATGATGATTATGATGCTGATGCTGATGCTGATGATGATTATGATTATGATTATCAAAATTATTTCGATAATGATGATGATGATGATTTTGATGTTGTTGAGCTATATGATGATGTAATTTATCATCGTCAACTTCCACAAGTCTACCAGCCATACTATCACCGGGAGCTGAATCACTTCCACAACTATCATCATCGGCCGCATTTGATGATCCTCCATGAATTGACGAACTTCCTTCACCTGGTCTTCGCTTTTGCACACCACCTCTGGCAAAAACTCCGTCATGATAAGCAGACATATATTCAGGGTCAATTGTCCAATAGCCTCCTTTACCTTTACCGGCTGATGAAGTACTCGTCGTGCTAGAATTAGTAGTTGTATGTCCTACTAAATCAGTATCAGATCTTGGTACTTTCTTGAAGCATTTATTCAATGATAAATTATGACGAATGGTATTCTATAAATGGAAATAATTTGTAAAATTAGAGTGATACTATTAACGAAAATAACCAACAACAGTAATACAAACCTGCCAGCCAGTATCATCAGCCTTGTATAGTTGCGGATATCTTTCCATAATCCATTGATAGACTTCTCGTAGAGTCAATCGTCGTTCCGGAGAATCAAGAATTGCTTGTGCGATAAGAGATGAATAGGAAAAAGGCGGACGACGCCTTCGTCTTGGAGGTCGGTTATTAAGTTCCGGAGTCACAGTGACAAATGGCTCCGAAATAATGGATTGCGACGTATGACTTCTTTGATGTGGGAATGCACGTGAGGAGGTATTATCATCTTGTTGTGGTTGTGATGGTTGTTGCTTGGATGATGAATTCATGTCTTGTTTAAAAGATAATTTTGATCCAGATGACGAAAGTGAATTGTTATTGGTGTAGATCGTCTTAGATGGAGATGCTTGGGAATACATAGTTGATGATGAAGCAGACGATAGTTGAGGCGATGATTGTGTAAGACGACGAGCCGTAGGAGCAGGAATTATGGAAGATCTGTTAGTATTATTATTTGTACTCGAGAGGGACTGATAAGCAGGAAATGGAGATGTCGATGTGGTGCTAGATGATTGAAGATAATAATAATAATTCTGCGAGTTTGTATGCGAAGAAATCGGTGAAGAAATATGCGAAGACGACAGAAAAGAAGGAGTTTGGGAATTTATCGAAGAAAAAGTTGGAATTGTTGTTGTCTGTGAGTATCTTCCATCGTGAAATGGATTCTGTGAACTTGAAGTAGTCGTGGAGGATATTGGAGAAAATATGTGCTTGAAAGGTGGCAATGTTGGTGGAGTTAACGTTGCCATGGGAGAAACAAGCGACGAAATGGTAGAACGACGAGAACGTGTCGAAAAAGTAGAAGATTGTTCTAACACCACCGCGTCTTTCTCTATATTATTATGACGCGACAATAAGTTCAATTCGAGTAAACTATCCTTCTTGTTATTGTTGCTGTTGTTGTCGTCGTTGTTGTTATTGTTGTTGTTATTGTTGTTATTATTAATATCGTTAAAAGAAGTTGCTTCTGTTAAATTGCAAGGTACCACTGAATTCGGGTGTTGAGAAATGTATTGCCGCGACATGTATATGAAAACAAAATTTACGGCAATACCATATACAAAGGGGATCTATCTTTCTTCCTATCTCTTTCTGTAAACAAAGAAAAAAATGGACGAAAAAATTTATTATTATCTTTTATATATATATATATATATATATATATATATATTTTAATATTCGGAAACTAGAGTCAAAACTTTTTGTTCGCGCGACAGTAGTTTTTTTTAATGAATGAAAAAAGAATTATTGATGTTATTGTCGATGACGTGCATGTTATAATAATAATGACGATTTAAAAAAAAACGTTAAAGTCGAGAAAAGAAAAAAAAGAGATGGTGAGCGGATAGCCCCAACCAAAAAAGGGATTTACATTCAAACAAATTACTATGTCTACTTTATACTTTATTGTTGATGATGGCGATGATGAGAAATTTTAGAATGCATTTGGTGACGAGGAAGTAATTTTATACTTACTTTTTGTTTGTAAATTCTATTCTCATTATTATATTGTTGTTTAAGGTATCTACTGTTACAATAATACAATAGAGTATAAATAAAGAAAAAAAGGTATTTTTTCTCTGTGTTTGTGTCTCTGTATCTCAGAAAAGCAAGTAAAATTCTATGTTAGTTAGTAAATTGTACACAAATCAATCATTCATTAATTTATTCTAAAATTATTACTATTTATTATTTGTTGTTGTTGATGTTTACCTTTGTCAGACAGAAAAGGAAGCAACATGTTTTAAACTTGATTAAACCAATTCCTAAAGTTTCCTATTAAAGTTTAACCTAATATCTTTCTTATGCTGATGCCAGCAATATATAGTAGTTGAATAAATGCGCGTGCGGTACATCCCGATCAATGTGCACTTTAATATAAAATGTGCACGCGTCAATTTGTGTGTCTGTGTGTATATGCGCACTTTCTCCTGTCCACCCATTTTTTTTATTTTGTTATTTAATTTCATAGTTTTGACCTCTTATTACTATTCAGATTATTTATTGTTAGTACTGATGACTAAAACCAACTAACACAAATTCTATTCTTTTTTCTTTCTTGTTTGTTTTAATATAAAAAGTGTGTATGTGTATGTATGCAGAAATTTAATGTTGATCAGTTTTTTGTTTGTTAAACAAATGAAGTGTGCCAAGCATTTCGCTTTTAGTAAGAATGAAAATATAAAAGCATACACTGAATAATTTTGTATGTGTGAATAACATTTCGTAGGTTCCAAAGCGCGCGTGCGCGCTATCAGAATTATGACGACGGGTTTCTAAAATTGATTTTATAAAAACTAAATTGCAGTGGATACATTGCACATGGACACACCTACTTCTGCTTCTTGTAATTAATAACTCTCACTTGCTTGGAATTAATAACTCTCGTTCGCTTGGAATTAATAAACAATCTTTATATGTCGTACATTTTTTCTTTGCAAAGGTAATTTAATAATGATATATGCGTACATACATGTGTGTATGTTAGATGTATAATGCATCATAACTTAAAAAACTTCTTTTGCATTCTTAACCCACGTACGAAATGAAAGGTAAACCACAAAAAAAAAATAAAGCTTCGAAAATAGATGCATCCGATAAATGTGATGTGTGTCTATGAATAAAAAGACAGAAGAGAAAATTAAAATCATGGCATTGGACATTGGTTCTTCTCGTGTAGCAAGCAAGGTAACAACAGAACACCAGCAAAAAAAAATTTCAAAAGTTTTCTGAAACGCATTTGTAGCTGGTCGTACATGTTTTTTCTTCGGAGGTGGTGGTTATTAATCTCTTGTTTTTTTTTTTGAGTCGCAATTTGGCGTAATATTCCAATAACAAATAATCATGCAAAAGACAAAAGAAAAACAGAACAAATACGTATGTAATCAATGATGTGATTGGATGGATAACTTTCTATCACCACTATCAAGGAACGATATTCATTCAACATTTGAAATGTCACAGCTTTTAGCAAACAAAGTTTTATAGTTCAATTGTCATACAAATAAATGTGTAGAATAGTAATATATATGTAGAGGGGATAAATGTGATAATATTATTTACGATCTTTCGCGTATATTTGCTGTTATGGTATAACGATAAGGATGAAGAGGAGCCAAAGCATTATTTATTATTAATAATATTATGTTATGATAATATGTCAAATATTAATTTCCTCAGTATATTAATAATATCCTAAAATAACAAATAAAATATTCATTGATTCTAGTACATATCTTTATGTTTCCCATTTATTTATTATTTTTAAATTAATATTTACCAAATACCAATCATCAATCGATCAATTGCTGCTTTATTAAATTATAAAAAAAACAAATAAATAATTATCGCTAATGATATCACACATAATGAAAAGAAATCATCAGCATCAATAACGATAATAATAAATTTTACATATATAATAAGACTACACTGCAGCATTTGTAAATAATAATAATCGGGATGAATGTCCGTCTATATTTCTTTCCCCTTTTCCTTTCATTGCATCACAAACAAACAACAGAAGATTACACGGGAAATCCTAAAGATGTGTGGGTAATTTTAATTGATTACTATTGTGGGGGAAGATAACAACTTTTTAGTGTCTTTCCAAAAAGGTTATAACTCAAAAAATGGATGATTATTTTATTTTTTGAACCAGTTATATTAATTTTTGCCACGATAATTCTGGGCAAAATTAATATTGTCTGGCCCAAATTATAATTAGTCAGATCAATTATTACGTCATAAGATCTACGGCTACAAAATTAGCAAGTTCACTACACATGTTAATGTTGTGGATGTTAATTGAACTTCTATTTTTTGATTGAATAGCTCAAACCTTAAATTTATATTATATTAACTATTATCATTATACTATTAACTATTTAAAATTACTATCGCTATTAATAAACAAATAATGAAAGAGATTTATCTTGGTCATATAATGATAACGATAACAAGTGATAGTGATTATTGAAGTATATGTAAAGGAAATCGCATGTGTGTTCAGTATTATCGCGTGATATAATCATAATTTATAAAATGTGTCGGAGAATTCTCCGAGTTTTCCTTATCAAAGTTTCGCGATAACTAATATTAAGCTGCGGGCTTCTTGTGCTACTGTTGCACAAATTTTAATAAGAGTAAGTCGCACAACACTGATCTAGAAGCTTAGCTTGTGTGAAAGATTATTATTAGCATTCCAATAATAATTTTTAATGCATTTTCTGCATAAAATGCATAATTTAATTCTGCGTTTGTTTGGCGTTTCACTAATTAGCAATTTTATAATTTTATTTATTATTAATATTTGTTTGTTCAACAATTAAAGATATCAGTTTTTCTTTGAAAGGGATGTATGTATATATGATGTATGTACCATTTCACACAAAAACGTAGATGATGAACAAGATGTTTGTTTCATTGTTGGAATCAATCAATTAATCAAATCAATCAATTAATCAAATCAATCAATCAATCAATCGATCAAAGTGCGTCTTCGAAGACACGGCGCATCGTTGTCGCTCGAAAAGTCACGCCAATAAATTAAAAAGAAGGACATTAGTGATTGGTCGAATAGATCGGGATAATGACATATTCAATAATGGATATGACGAGTATTATCACAGCACGAGACTTCTATTCAATATGTATGGAAGGAAGATCCTTTAATTTCTCATTGTTGAGAAACAATACGCCTAATTCCGGTTTTCAACGAGAAATAACATTATGACAAGAAAAAGAAAAAATACAATAACAATATAAAAGTCAGGAGCATTCCGAAACTCTATTCTTTTTTGTAAGACATAACAAGGCCGATTATAAGGGGCTTCTTTTTCTTTTTTCTTTATATCGTTTATGACGAAATTGTTTTTTTCTTGATTGTAACAAGTTATTATTAGGATGAAGTTTGCATTTTGCAAAGAATTCTAATAATAAGTGTTCTATGCTATGACAACAAGTTTATTTGGTTTTCTTATTCTGCGATACTCGAAAAACCTACACAAACGCGGCACTGCAAATCTCACACCCCCCTTCCACCTTATTTACCACGAGAAGAGAACCTGGCATTTCCAAATGCCACAATTGTTTGCGAGTCTCCTCTTGATCAGCTTGTTTGTTAAGCCTTTTGCATTTCCAACCATCAATGTTGTCATGGGTTGCAGAACATATCTTGATAGCAACCAAGGTGGTACATGATGTACAAAAAAATATTATTAAAGCAACAAGTAGATAAGCTTACGAGTATCCAATATACCGATACGTCATAAATAATTTATATATCACCTGATTTGGCCTATTTAAATATATCCGAAATCGATTTTTCATGAAAAAAATTGCGTCTATCATGTTGACAAGGCATAAAGTAAAAAAGTTACCTCATTAATAAATCATTGAAAGATGTAACTCCAACAAGTCTAAATAATTCAGTACCAACTCGTTGATTCCATAGCATGCCACACTTATTCAAGAAATTGAATAAAATATCATATTTTAAACTTTCTAGATCACGTTTAACCATTGAGACAAGTTCTCCGTAATCATTCAGCTGCAGTAGTCGCAAATGACAATAGCTCATGTACATTAGATAACCGATAAACACCGGGTTTTGCAAACTTGGAAGAGGAACTTTCAAAGAAAGACCTTATCGGTTCATTAATTACTTCTTCACTATGAGTTTCTTTATCTTCCGAGAGTTTCATAATATACGAACATGTGGAGAGGCATACACTCCCCCCCCCCCCCCCCGATATAACGGATCTGTCGGGCTGAAAAATTCAGTCCGTTATAGTGAATCTTCGCTATAATGTTATTAACAAAAATAAATTCCGTTCTGATTCTATAGCGAGGGATCTGTTTTAACGGAGTTTGCTATAGTGGGTGTGGAGCGTATGATATAGAAACAAGTCGGAATCCTAGTTTGTTCTTGGCATTAGATCCATAATAGTTTTGGTTTTACGATTGGCGAGTTCTTGTATTCAAATTTTTTGTCTTCTTGACATTGATTCAGAGGTGGTGGTAATGTTCCCGAACACCTTTGTTGGTTATCCTTTAAGATATTTCAACTTTTAGCGCAAGAATAGTAGCTGTATCTTCCGTCCCTTTATATTTGGCTGTAGTCGCTCGAACTTTTGTCATTTCATCGTCCTTCTTACTGAGCGATAAACTTTTAAATTTTAGTAGTAGTAGAGCCAAAACACTATTATTTCACATGCAAAATATGTCAGGCATTGAAAGCATCTACCATTAAAGTACAATTATATTGTAGACGACTAGTTATGAAAAAAACTCAAAAAACTATGAGAGGAAAAGTTGGTGTCACTATACAAAAATATTTGCGAGGATACAGATACATTCAACGTAAACGATACTTCGCGCGCTCTATAGACCGCAATTGATAATATATCTATTATTATCGCCAATGTTAAAAGTTCTTTAAAAAATTCTAAATTTTGCGTCATTGAAATCTTAACATGTTCTCTTGCATTAAAATGGTATATTCAATCTATCAATCACTATCGCTATATGATAACGATGAATTAATAGTATTAATAATAAAGGAGGTACTATGTACCATTCCAAGGAAGAACATTCTTTATAATTGAAGCATCGAGAATAGCAAAGTAAATTTTGTAGAATTTAATACTTTGTAATTGATGAAGTGAGAACTAAGAATATCCTCAGAAATTAACTATTATCAGTTCCAGTTCAGTCTAAAATAGTGTTAGTATTACGATTAAAATTAATTCGATCGGTTTAATGGGAGATCTGGTTATCGATTTCCGACGTGTATATAAATTTTTTGTGGAAACAAACATTTTTGACTTAAATTTTGACGATTATCTTTTAAAATATTAAAAGCTGAAAACTTCTTTTAACAGCACATAATCAAAGCTATATTACTTGAAAGAGGAAAACGAAATGTAATTTTTTTCCAAAAATATAAAGTTGATTATCAAATCTAAATTACAAGAGCCCATTCTTGAATAAGAGCAAAGGATTGGATATTTTTGAATATCACGATTATCAATAGTCAATTGTGTATTTAAAAAAAGATTTTATATAATCAAATTTAAGTGGAAGAGATAATACTATTTTTAAAGATAGATAATGTATGTTTATTTTGTCAAGTAACTTAAATATAATTATAATTTTATAAACAAGTAAAATATTAATTATTTTTTTATTAAATTAATTTACATAATTTTACAATTAAGATGAGAAATTATAAACAATTAACAAATTAAATAAGAATAATTTCATAATAATAAAAGATTATAACTTAACAAATAATAATGAATATAATTTTATATTAGTAATACAATCTGGTGTTTTACTATAAATAGAATTTTCTTTTATTATAAAGATTAATAATGTAATGTAATGCATTCAGAGAAAATTACCATTTTAAAAATTTAAATAATTTAAAAATTTGATTGATTAAAAACTTTATTATAATTTAAAAAATTTTAAAGAATTAATTTTGAAAAAATCAGTTAATATTTTGAAAATATATATTTAAATATATTCATTTTAAAAAATATTATATTAAGATTAATCAATTAAATTACTTTAAAATCTTTTTAGAAAATGATAAAATACTCCTGAAATAATTATTCTATTTATAGTAAAATACTATTTATAATAAAATATCCAATTATAATAAGAAATTATAAATAAATAACAAAGTTATAATAATAACCAAAAATAATGCAATAATGTTAAAATTTATTAATTAAATATAGTAAAATGTAAGTTTTTCTCTTTATATAAAAGTTTTCATTTTATTAATAAATATTTTTTATTTTTACATTAAATGAAGATAATATCATATATTCTAACATAATTAAAATATATAAAAAAATAATTGACTTTATATATAATTAGAATAGTTTCATCAGATTAAATCTAAAAAATCTGAAAAAATATATATTAGAATATTTGATATTATCTCTATTTTAATATAAAAATAAAAAATATTTATTAGTAAAATGAAAACTTTTATATAAAGAGAAAAACTTGCATTTTACTATATTTAATTAATAAATTTTGACATTATTGCATTATTTTTAATTATCATTATATAAAAAATTATATTAACTAAACAAAACTAATTAAAATAATTAAAAAAATTATATTAATATTATATTTATTTATTAATTTTATTAAAAAGCTAGATAATCAAAAAAATTAGTTATTAAAAATTTTAATTAAAAAACTTAATAATTTTTTTAAGCTAAAATATAGTTATTTTATAAATAATTAATAAATAAATATTAAATTTTCAATAAAATTAGCAAATAAAGTATTATTATAAATATAATTATAAATATTAATTAAAATATAATTACAAGTACTAATTAAAATATAATTAATTAAGTGCTATAATATAGAAACTTTTAAATCAATAATATATTTTAATTTTAAAAAGTTATTATATAATATAAAAACAAAATTTTCAAAATTTAACTGGTAACTTGTTATAAAGAACAAAGTTATCAATCAGATTTTGAAAATTTTGTCTTTATATTAAGTAGGAACTAAAGATAATATCTCAATTAATTATAACTTGTAATACTCAATTAGAGAATTATAATTTAATTGTAATTAATTATGATAACCAATCAGAAAATTGTGAACAAATTGCAACTAATTACAATTTTATCTTTAATAATAACATATTAAAATTAAAATATATTATTAATTTAAGAGTTATTATATTATAATTAAAGCATAATTATAAATACTAATTTATAAAATATTTTATTTAATAAAATATAATTGTTTAATAAAATATTATTTAATATTATAATTGTTTAATAAGAATTTAATATTTAAATTTTTTATAATTATTCATTTATAGTCACATCTCTCTATAGTTATCCTATTTGCTTTTCTATTTACATATAATATAATAAAAAAATCTCTTTATAGTCACATTCTCTCTATAATCACCAAATTTTGCTTTTCTGAGAATGGTAACTATAGAGAAATTTGACTGTAATCAATATAATTTATAATATAATTATTACTATTAAAATTTACTTATAAAATAAATAATATAATAGAATAAAATAAAATATAAAATATAAACTAAAATAATATAAAAATAAAAAAGTTTTAAATTATTTGCAATATAATATTCTCAATTTTTTGTTAATTAATATTGATTATACTTTTATATTTATTTAAGAATTTATATTAATAATATTAAATTTTGTTATTACTTTGAATAAATTTAATAAATTTTAAATATATAATAAATTTTTTACATAATTTAAATAAAAAAAATATAATTAAATCTCTCTATAATTATTACTTTTAATAAAACAAAATTGAATAATTATAAAAAAATTTAATTATAAAGAAATTTAATTATAAGTAAAAAAAATAATATTATTTTTAAAAATAAATAATATATATTAATTTTGTTAAATAACTAAAATAAATTCAAAAATCTTTTTAACAAAATAAATATTATTATTAATCTGATATAATAAATATATAAATAAAATTACAATAAAAATAAAATTAATTATAATAATATTTTAATTATATATTTAATTTTATTATTAGTTAATAATATTTTTTTCTATTTTTCTTTTTTTTCTTAATATTGTTGTATAATGATCTTTTATCATAATATTTCATATTATTAGATTATATATATTTTATATTATTAAATTATACATATTTCATATTTTATTGGATAAAAATCAAATTATGTGAAACAAGCAAACAAGCAAGTAAATGAGTAAACAAACAAATAAATAACTAAACAAACGAATGAACAAATATTGAACCAATAGAATTTAAGTGATATAAAAAATATGAATTTGTATAGTTGATAAATTATATCTTGGATTTGTATAAAAGCAACATGTATTGTAATTATTAGAATTAAATATGAACAAGTCCTTTTAGATAGTAATTCTCAATTATCACATCTAATTAATTAACACATAGTTTTGATTATTCAAAGAAATAAAGTTTGCACTTTATATAAAGTAAGTAATCAAGCACAAACTTTTCTCTACACCCTTTTGACAAAGTATTCATTTTCTTGTATAATAACTTTATAAGAAGTTATACAAATCTTGAATCAATATATATTATACTAGCTTAAACAAGATTACCAGGAGCACTATAAAAGTTATCATCTTTATTCTAAATTTTCTGAATATATTGTGATGAAGTCTATTGAACATTATATTAAATAAAGGAATTATTATTATTATAATTCATAAATTTGTCTTTGAGATTGTATTACTAATAATACATTACTTATAAATTTATCTTTAACTTTATATTGTTATAATATACTGTTCATATATTTATCTTCAATTTCATATTGCTAATAATATAAATATTATAATTTTCATAACTTTGACTTTGAGATTTTGAGAACTCTTTTTAGCAGTTCAATTATTGCGTTAAAAGAACACAATTGTTACTAATCTTTAAGTGATTCTTATAAGTATTTATTGTACTTTAATTTATATTCAATCTAAAGTTATAAAGTATTATTAAGATTGTGAATTGTCATTAAGATATTTGAGTTTTCCCTTGAATATTATAAATACTCTTGAGTATTTCAAAGTTTCATTAAAACAGTAACAAAATTTTGGTGCTCTCTCTATGGATTAAAATTTCAAAAGTGTTATTTTGAAAGTACTATTAGAATAATTATTAAATCTCTTAT